TTCATTAAACAGAAACAAAGAAGAGGCAGTAGCAATTAGAGGTAAACTTGACAAGGAAAGAATTGCTTAGGCACTCGTGGTATCGTAATCCGTAAGGCCTGCCTTCTCACTGTACCAGTGACCATCAGGTCTGTTATCCAAGCTTTTTGTGCAAACTGAATGTTAAGACAAGACCAAGAGCAGCCATGTTAATAAATGACAACTCTTTGTATATAGATGCAGGATTGCTGAAAGACCTCTACCAAGGATCTGTGTCTAAGGACAAGCTCTGTATTCTCGCTGAGAAGCAGCTGAATGAGTTGATGCATGCAATGAAATGTAAGTGTGCTGGCAGGCAGGTTCCTGAAAAGATTTTCTTATACTGTCAATTTGATTGTACTGCAACCAGATTTATATCATTAAAGATACACCGACGAGTCTATGAGTTAACAGTAAATGTTTAACCTCCAAATAATGATTTCTTCCAGCAAGGGTTTTTGTGTTGTGATATTCACCAGCCATTAATACAACAGCATAAACAACTGCCTGAGTCAGGCTCATTTTGGCTAAGTTGTAAATGTAGTCTATCTTCAAACTGCCACTTTCTTCTGCCTTTTGTTTAGCAGATGTGTGAAAAGACAGCCCTGAATTTGTGCTGAAATCTGTCAGTATTTGAAAAGATTTCAATTGTTAAAAAGCTCACGTGCAGGAGAGCGTAGTTTATTGGTAAAAATAGCATACAAGCATAATTTTCATACTGGTTTTAGTCCTTACTAAACCACTGTGTTTCAAGGATTTTAACATTGAAGTCTCTTAAAATTTTCTTTTGTAGTTCAAGTACAATCTATTGTTTACTGCACTTCTTCAGTTTACCCAGAAGAGAATGAACAAGTAGTGCAAAAAGCACTGGAATTTTGTGTGAAAGGAAAAAAACAAAAAACATTCAGGCCATTCAGGTATGGTATGAATAGTTTTGTCTATATAAAACTTGAAGTAGCATAGTTCTTAACCTAGTCCAATCTGTGTCTTGTATTAGATTAACAATATCATCTTCAGCTGTCTTTGATTCCATTCTTTTTGATGATAAGAGAAATTAAGTTGTTCCTAATGTTTTCATTTATTGCTTTCCCCCAGTAGAAGAGAACTTATATTTCTTTATATCACAGAATAATTCATTAAAAAAAAAAAGTTTTTTTTTCAGGAGGTTTGATTTTTTTTTTTTTCTTCAGGAAAAAAATTTTGTCTGAGACAAAAAACCTCCCATAAGAAAATTTCTCAGAAATCCTAAAACCTCTTCAGTGTTCTGTAGAAATATCATGAAACTTGTCATAGCACCACATCACACTTTTGCTTTGAAATACTGGATGATCACAGATAATAGGTAACGTAAAAGTGCATTGGAATTTTTTCGCAAAACTCAGCAATTTTGTGGCTGAGGATGGGTGGAACTTCATAAATGATGATTCTAGAATTAGCTCATCCTTCACTGTTATGCACAGATCTTGGATTTTTGTCCCGGTACCATGAAGGTGCTGGCAACCAGTGTAGACAAAGCAGTAACAGAATATCATAAATGAGATACAGTGTGATCATGCTTGTCTTAAGGTGAAAGCTCAAGCTTTCCTTATGTAAGTATTCCTTATCATCGTTCCTCATGCATTTCTCTTAGCATGAGGTAACTCGATTTACTAGAAATACAGAACCCAGTGAAAAATTCTGAGCACCTGTGCTCAGAACATAGCAGCTCTGAAAGAAACAAGTCGTGCTGATTAAATGTCCTTTGGGATCATCACAGATACTCTTCTGTCTTGTGACAGACTTGTTCTTGGCCTTATGAACCAAATCACTGCCGTCTGTTTTGTAACAGCTGGGAATTGCTGGAGTGTAGGGGGAATGTGGGAAAAGGAGACTTCCTTCCTTCCTGCCTTGTTGATGCATCACAAAACAGTAAATTGAAAAAAAAAAAACAACTGGAGCCCTGGTAGTTGAGTATGGCAAATAGGATATCTAGCTTACCTAAATTATTTCTTAAGAGCATACACTTATTGACTCAAAGTCAACCTCTTTATAATTTCTATGTGCTGCTGAGTGCCTTCAGAGCATTCCCATGTTCCTGGACAACTCGATTATCCAGCTATGGCAGACTCAAGAAAGAATGCAATTCTTAATTATGTTGATATACACTCATTAACTGGTGGTTAATGTAATTTAATATTGAAAATAACTCTCAAAAGATTAATTCTCATGTCTTGATTAGCCCTTCTTTTTAAAAAAGAATGAAGATAGGTTTTATAAAACTTTCATTTGCAAGACATGCTTTACAAATCACTTTTAACGTATCTGTGTTTTTTTTTCCTTGTATATTCTTATTTCTTGGTCATTTCTTTCTTTTTGTCAGACTAATTCCTCCTGTTCTTCCTGCTTGCTCCAACCCAGAGTCCTGCACTGATTCTTTTTTCAAAATAGAACCATCGGAAATTTCCAGTGGCTGTTTTCTGGCTGTTATAGCAAGAGAGGTAAGAAAACTAAAATTTAAAATCACAGAAGAGAACAATTGTCATTTTCCATAAAACGAATACATAAATGGAACACGTGAAAATAATTAATTTTTAAGATTTCTTGAACAAACCGAAGAGTTGGTGAGCAAAGCTACAGCTTTTCTAGAGGTACCTTCAATTGAAGTGTGCACAATATTTTAGGCTGAACACAGCTCTTCTACGTGTACTTTCATTTTGGAGCAGTTGTGGTCAGAACAATCTCTTTATCTAGGTCTGTGCAAGGAATATTTAGGAGGAAACGTTTGTATCAAACCTTGGAATGAGCTAGACAGCTTGGGATTAGATTTGTTCTAAGTGGTGTCTAGTGAAGTTATTGGTTAGGTCTGTATGTATCATCAGGATGTGCCAGTATACAAGCAGGCAGTGTCACCAGCATGGATTAAGACTGCATTACAACTTGTATTAAATGGATAGGAATGTTTCCTTTCTAAACTAAGTTATATGCAAATCTGGGCTGAAAGGCAGGGAAACTTTGCTGAGTAAACAGAAAAGCCTTAGCATGATTTCCTGAGGAAAGACCTTAGAAGGATGATTTGCATTTGAGTATCAAGCTTTTCATCTTGTGGCTGAGAGAAGTAGAGCTTTTTCACCAAAAAGGGGGGAGGGCTTTCCAAGCCCACAAGGTTTAAATAATCATGCTGTGCAGACATTTGTCTACTGAAGTCCAGAACTCATTTTCCCTCTTCTGGTCCGCAGAGGGCAAAGTCTCTGGAAGAGCAAATGTTCAGACAGCAGTTAACACAACAGTCAGGGCCTTTATTTATTGAGCAAACTGTAATTCTGCCATGCCTTTCTTGTGGAGTAGATATTGAGGAATCTGAGCTTACTGAATTGACTTTACAGCTGTTTCCTCAATTTATTATTCTTTCCTTTGAAATTTACAGACAGACTCCTCCAAAAATGTGTCCGCTAAAGATATTTTGTCTCAAGCTGCAGCAAAAGGACTACTACTAGACAGCATTCTAGGTAAATCAAAGGAAGAAGAGAAGCAAGGGAAAGTAACACAACATGGAAGTGATGCTACTCATACTCGCATAGAGCCAAAGACTGCTGCGGTTCCTCACCCTAAAGCTGTATCTAACAGGAAAGCTGCAGTTGTAGTATCCAAAGTTGAAAGCAAACGAAAAAAAAAGAATTCCAACCAACCAAGAGGTCACATTCAGCTGAAGAAACCTACCATCAACCCAGCTTCAGACACAGGTGTTTCTAAAGTGCCAAAGCACACATCTGTTGTCAAGGTGCACAGAAAGCAGACACAAGTTAGAAAGCCACGTGCAGAATGTAAAAAAATGGTCAAGCCACGTGCAGAATGTAAAAAAATGGTCGCAGTGAAGCTCGTGGAAATAGTTTTTCCTCCAATGATATCACCATATGGACATCCGCAAGGAAACCAACATAGGATGCCAGATCATATCTCTCTGCTCCAGTCCAGACAGAGGAATAGAAGCTTGAGGGACAGAGAACCTCTTCCACCTGTGTCTAAAGTAGTCAAACCAACAGTGCTCAGAAATTCTCAATCAGGGCTGTAAGAATCTTCAAACTTTCCCCTAGCTTTTTAGAAAAGGTAAAGATTCCTGTACGTATTTATTCACGCACGTAGATTGCAATATACCTTTATTCATTACAGTTTTACTGTGAGACTAATTCTCAGATATTTGCATGGAAGTAGCTATGTTAGCCATTTAAAACCAAAAATTACATTTTAAAGTAAATGCAGCTCAGTTGTGTAAGGCGGGGGGAGTCCACTGGGGAGACCACTGGGAGAGTCAGGTGAAAAATACTGCAGCTATTTGCTATAGACTTTAAAATGACAAGTTACAGCACACCATTTTTGTAAATTACCTTTTGGGCTGTGACACACAGAAACTAAGCCTTGCACAGTAAGCTAGTTCAGTTTTATCTCTCAAGCTGGATGTGAATTTTTCTACAAACAGCTGGCCAAGTACATTTGAGCCCATGGGCTTTCCAGTATTAATTCCTTTGGTTTCCACTCACAAGTGCTTAAAAATATTATAAGGGGAAACTATATAAACATTACGATGCATTATCATGTCAATTCAGTATTTTTAGTAACATCAACCAAAACGCAGCTCTTTTCACATCAGCTATTATCTAAGTTTCACATCTGCTATTATCTAAGTTATTTTTATAAATAGTGTAACTATTTATTTGAATAATGACCGAACACAAGGACTGAATAAGTTTTCCACTGTTGAGAAATCAGCAGTGGGAACCTAACCTGTTCCCTAACAAATGCAGAATAAATGGTGAATATCTACATTTGTCTGAGCACAATGTAATAAGTGACTTAGTACTAAATATGGGCAGTATGAACAGAAAAAGTAATTCAGGAATTGTTAGCAACTGTTCGTTATGACAGTTGGTAAGAGTTTATTGAATGTAAACAAGCCAAGTGTCAGCAATATGATATGGAATCTTAAGGATTTAGACCCATGCAGAGAAAATGTTTTAACATCCTTATTTTCTTCCTGTCCACATCAGCCAACGTAGACGAACAAGCTTTAGAAGAAGGGATGTGTTACACCATTGGCACAGAGAACTGCTTCTTCATCATCAGATTAATATTACTACTCCACTGAATCAGTGAAAAATTCTGTTCATGTTTTTAACCAGAGTTGCCTGTTGTACTCAGAGCTATCACTCACCTGCAGTACATCTCTGTGAGTAACCTACGCTCCTCACCTGGTCCAATAAAAGGAAAAGCTCTGTTTTTGTTTCTGAACATACTTACCTAGACCTGTTTGTTTGCAGTGTATAGAACTGGAACAAAAACTAAGAATCCCACATTCTTTCAAACCACCTTCAAGGAGAATTCTACGTAATAGACAAAAGGAATGGAAAGAGGGGTTTGTTTGTTTTTTAATATGGTTGTTAAATGCCTAAAAGAAGCTTAAGAGATTCTTAAATTAGAGAAGTGAACTTGCATATTTTTAAAAATGGAGCCCAGTGTCTCTCATTTACTAAATATTGATTAAAATGATTCCAAAATGAACATGCTTTGGGCTTACACATGATGTTCCACACTTGGCCTTTTATCTTGTTTTGAGGGAGCTGAGTCCTTCAGATGTTACGGAGACCAAACGAGTGGTGACCTTGATGTCTTACCAAGAATACAGAAGAGGTAGCAGGGAAGATTTTAGTTCAGCAGGTTTACCAGCTTGCTTGGTGAGCACCGAACATCACCTGCTGGCAACATCTGATACTGACTTCAAATGGCTTGTGGATAGGAGCCTGAATGCTCAATTAAACACTTTTTAAAAATAAAGTGAAGTAAAACTGTATCATACATAACTAGTTCTCAGAATTCCACTTAAGTATTTGTAATTTTCAACTAGAAGCCACTGATTCAGTTTTATACATACAAAAACCTCCATGGCACTGCTACTGCCTCTAAACAGCCATCATATATTTCTCCCTTCCCTCAATTTGGATCAAGAAAAGAAAGAATTTCCCAGTTCCCTGGACCAGCAACAGTTGAGACAATGATTTTATGCAGCCAAATTTATTCTCAGAGTAGATTACATTTAGATGTGTAGAAGTGGACAACAGCAGGGGAAATTGCACTTTTCAGCATCAACTGGGTGCTCTATGCAAGGCTGAGCTCCGCTAATAACCAGTAGGTGTGGGTCCACCTACTTCTGCTAACTGTGCAGCACAAGTTTTTAGCAACATATGAATTAACTTGCCCAAGGAAGAAATAATGGCATTTAAGGCTGAACCCACATGAGCTCTGAAATAAAAAAGCGCTGTTTTGCATGGATGCTTTACCAACAGTTGTACATCACTAATAAAATAATCATCTATGAAATACTTGATAAGACTAAAAATAAAAGGATGCAGAACTCTTAGGAAATGACGCAGACCTGACCTGGAATAAGCTGCCTGACACTCCAGAGCCTCTCTTCCTGTCACAAAAGGGCATGTTGCTTCAGCAGGCACAGGTAACTCCACGCACAGTGTTATTGTGAGTTGGTCCTAGGCCGCTTCTGTGCAATTTTTGTTATTCCTGTTTAAAGTCCCCATAGTTGTCTCTGTAGCCTTGAACCTCCCACACCTCTTCTCTCCCCCCTTCAAGTGAAACAAACAGTGACTTAAAGAAAACCTACAGCCAGCACTGCGGATTTCAAAAGAAAGGCTTTTATCTCTCATTTCTGATGGTGAATATAAATCTCCTTGCTTCTGCAAGGGAGCGCATTAATGACGTGTGATGTGTGATACTTACCTCTAGTTTCTACTTGCATTGAAAAAAATAAGAAATTAGCTTCGCTTTACATGATTTTTCTACAGACTTCAATAAAAATGTGACTACAAATAATTACAAAGCTGCCTTTTTTTAGGCAACCTATAGTATACAGCATAGAGAACGTTACAAGATCACGTCCAGTAAAGACAATACATCGACATCATAATGCAGGATATTTCAGTAAAAATAGAATAAATAAAATAAAAATATTTTAAGCTGTATTTAACAGGTTAATTTAAAATATGGCATCAGACATACAAGGCATAGTGAATGCATGGCTGCCTGCTTACAGAATCGCTGGGTATTATAAAAATGCATAGATAACTGAAGGGTTGCTACAACATCAAATAAAACGGTGGTAGTTACTCAGACACGTGTATGCCATATACACATTTTTAGCCATGGTTAAAGAGTGCCTCAGTACATTGTTTGATAAAAGACAACGAGCTCTGCAATTTTAGGTGTTGATTCTACAAACACACCTGGGTGTATATTTAACACTTTTTAGAAACTCAGGAGTTCCACTGAAGCCAAAAGGCCAAACATTTTGGCCCATTAAGCAAACTACTTAATTATTTGCAAAATCAACAGCATTTTGGTAACAGACAAGAAATCCAGGGGACCTACAGCTTTTCAAATATTTTTCTCTCTCTTTTCCCTCAGCCCTTCCTGCAGTGGCACATTTTTGCCAGTGAAAACTCTGTGTTCAGAGCCTTGTCGACACAGATGTGTAAAGACTCCTGACACAGCTTCTTACCTTTACACTGCTGTTTCCCAAGTGTTGGTTTGGTTTAAACTTGGACTGTTTCTCTCTTGGGGAAAAGCAGCACTGTGTAGACAACGCTACTGAACTCGATTATACTGTTAAACATTCTTTGTTGTAAAGCAAATAAAAATCCTGGAGTTTCCACCTGGAACTTTAAAAAGAAAGGTGCTGTCAAAATATTTTCAGTATATAAAACAAAGTTGGATTCAGTAGTTTTCTGATTAACAAGGAAACATCCTTTAAATTCATGATCTCGCTTAGCGACGTTGTGAGACACTGCATTTTGATAGCAGCCATGAGAGGAAGCGATTTTTTTTTTTACACTGTTCCCATCAGACTTAAGTGGGATCAGCACTAGAACCTGGAGAAACAGGACTAAGCCAGTACACAAGCTGTCATCTCCACGCTTCAAAATCTGGCTTCATGGGCAGTTCAAAGGTTGCTACTGCTGAAAGGGGAGGGTTTGCCTCACCTCCCCTCCTGCTCTCCCTGTCATCTGCACAGCCACGTGGCCAGCTGGATCAATTTTGGAGTTTACTCACGTTATGCAGACTGGCCTTCTCTCCTCCAACTGCACAAGCAATGGAGCTGGTTCCAAGCAGCAGGAACGTGAGACTTGGGATGGGGCAGAATTACCTCACTGCCCAGGGTGCAAAAATCCTATTACGCAGAGGTTTGAGATCATAGAACCACCAAGGTTGGAAAGAACCTCTAAGATCATCCAGTCCAACCATCCACCTATCAACATTTCCCACTAAACCATGTCCCTCAGGACAACATCTAAACATTTCTTGAACATAGTGCAGGATCAGCTCCTTAGAAAGTATTCTGAAGAACTCCATTTAGAATATTACAGCTGTATGGCTAGCCTTCACTACATTTACTCATACATCAGGCTAAATGTGTTTTAATAATTCTTCTACATTTCTAATAAAGGCATTTCCTGAATCATCACTCTTTCCCCTTGTATTCTTAACATGTTTTGCCCAGGTATTGCTGTTGATTTTTTAAAATAAGAAAAAAAAAAAAATCATTATTTGCTCATAACAATCTTATTTATAACAATCTCCGGCACAGTAAAGTAAAAAAAAATGGTTCTTGTAAAAACAACGTTGACAATGTCCTTCTAAAATTACAGCATGACCAAATTTGCAGATCTGGGAGACAGATACAGTTTGGAACACAAATATAAATGCAGGCAAAACATTTTTAACATTCGTTAAAAATATCTTTTATGCTCCATTTCCAAAATTTGTACCAATCTGCAGGTCTAAACAGAAGATGGCAAAGAGAGAAAGACAAAGCTGCATTTGAAGATCAGTACAAGACAAAATTTTAAAGGGGCATTACTGTGCTGACTTTGTCAGAATCTGCAGTTGTGTGGATCAAGGCTATTACAGGAGACCTTTGGAGCAAAAGCACTGACATGAAGTTGTCCCACTTGCGACAACATCCTGTTAGAAAACAACTCTCATGATTTTGTCACAGACCACTAAAAGAATTTCCATTGAATTTAGTAAATAATCAGAAACACGACTGCTCTTTTTGTGGCATGCTAACAACCATTTAGCAGCAAACTCAGAGGGGGAGTAGTGCAACCCAACACTGAATGGAACATTTGATCAAACACTCATATAGAAAACATCTGTAACATTTTTGCTTCTGTGAGAGTATTAAGACAGTAAAACTGCTGACTAACTCTTTCCTGGTCAGTGTGAGCTCTATGTGGAACAAACAGTATTTTTGATCAATTAATGACAATTTGGGATGACATATTTAGCATCCAACACATGCATCTGTATGTTTAAAGATGAAAAGCTTCAATGGATCACCCTGTACTCAATTACAGAAAACACTCCCAGATTTTTCAGCATTGGTTTGGTATCAAACAATTTCTGTCTACAACTGTAATGTACAAACAGAGATCAAATGACAACGATTCACATGAGTGTCAGGCAGACCAACGCTGACAAACAATTTAAAATTAACAGGTTAGTTCTGTAAAAAATAAAAAACTTGGTATTTAATCTGCAGTAATTCAATGGTAGCTGATCCTTGGTATCTACTCCAGTGTTGAGAACCAAAGTGCTGTAGGACTTAAGATTGGTTTGTGACAAATCCAGCTCAAGACGGTGAAACTATCAACTCAAGCGTCATTCACTCCAAGGACTTTAGCACGAGTTCACTAGGAAGGACGTGGCCATACTCTTTCTTTGTGTGAGTTCAGGTAATGTTTACTTATTTACAATCAAACAGACCTTCCATTGATGTAACTTACTGACAGGAAAAAAATTATTCATGCTTCTTTTCATATCAAACGATGGTGGCAAGAACGAGATAACATGCTTGTCTAGCATTGTTTTGATACGGATAAATTCTCTTAAGACAAAGCATCAGCAATTTGGAATGGAAGGCCAAACACCATCAGTTCATTTCCCTTAGTGTAGCTACTGTTATCTGCAGTTAAATGTTAGGAGAATCTTCTCTCTTACGCAGCTACGGCATGTCGGTGACTGGGCGTTTCTGTTTCAAAGTGTCAATGAGGGACAGCACTCCTCTCTTTACGTTGGTTGTGACTCTCCTGGTCACCGAATCTGCAGGCGGTGGGGGAGGCCGAACTTTCTGCGAAGGAGGTCTGGCCACCAAGCACTTCTGATACCGTAACTGCAACAAAGCAGAAGCATTCTGCACTCCTTACTGTAGCTATTATTACCTTCAGTGCATTTAAAATACATTTGAAACACCTACTCATGAAATACAGTCAAACTTTCATTTTGACTGTGACAAACAACCCTGATCAAGTTAATAGGATATTGGTCTGACTTTTAGCAGAAACTGTTCTTTAGCACATGACAAATACTACATCACAGCAACAACCCACTTTGAAAACTGAAAAATAAGTTTTCTTAAACAAGGAATATTTTTCACTACATTGTCACTGGGTTACATAGAAATATTCTTCCAGTGTTAGATAACTTCTGTAACTACAGAACAGGTAGTTACTACTTACACAGGTGTTGAGGAGTTCAGGAGATCAGATGTTAAAGGAGCAGAGTTCACTAAATCAACATTTCAAACTTATTTTCAATTTACCAGACATATCAGAATCCAAATTGCAAATTATATCTCAGGAAATTAACTGCACATTTGTAAATACATATACTGAAGTAGTAGAAAACCTAAGTACTATTAGATGTCTTTTCAAGAAAGTCACTTACCATACAGGCAGCCTGAACAGCTTCTGATACATTGCCTGCATTTGGTTCACACCAAAACACATGGCACTCAAAATGCTGGTTTCCTGTATCCATAATGAAGGCAAATGTATGAACATCCTTGCCTACTCCCATGAAGGACAGAAACCGCACACGACATTCCACCACGATTTCCTCTTCATTCTGGTTATGAATAAAATGATTGTTCATTACTAACAGATATTCTATGAAATTTTACTTTCAGTGTTAGGTTAATTAAGTAGGGAGAGAACACTGATACAGTGAAACTTCTTCTGCAATCTGTGTATACCTGGTGTGCAAAGGCCTGAGCTGAGTTCTCTCTTCTAGGCTACCAGCAGAACACAATGGCTTTGAGCCTTAGAACTGAAGCATATCATGCATTGTAGTACTGCATGTTTAAAATGGATGTGGCAGTTTTGTGAAGAAATGCATGGCTATTGTGACTTCTAAAGATACCCTATTACTGGTATGTAGAGATGTGGCTTTAGGACCTAATCAACAGATGCAGATATGGAACATTCTTTGCACGTTACATTTTATTCTATGAAAAATGTTCCACTAAAGGACAGTGATGTGAAACACAAGTTGTAGTCTTACTCTTGGCTTTCATAGAAAGAATAAAGAAAATACACAAACTTAGGATTGCTCCTTACAGCTTAACCTACAACATTTTACACTCAAAATTTCTAGGAAGGATAATACTGTGTTCGTTTTAAGCATCTAAAGGTTACTTATAATTCACGTTTCTAAGGACATGCTTGGAATGGTAAATAAAGCTGAAGCTGACACAAGTAGTTGTAAAACAGTGATACAGCCCTGCAAAGAAATAAAATGCAAAAAAAGGTAAATGAAGTCCAGGAAAAATGAACACTCTCTTCTAATGCTCATGAGTTCCTGGTTTTCAGCACTTGTGTTAAACATGTTTTGAACAGGACATTCTGCCTTACTCTTTCACTAATGACTGTGACAGTAGCATCAGCAACATTCATGGTAACTGGCATCCAGTCTTCCTTGCTAGAAGAAGCCATCAGACTTTCAATAGCACTGTTCAGGGTATCCATTCCTAAAACAGAAATAAATGTGTATGAGTAAACAATATTATTTTCACACAGTAGTACACAGTAGTAAATTGTTCTGAACCAGGTAAAATGAATATGGTGATGGATTTTGAAGCTGGTTTTCATCATCTGCAGAAGCAAATCAGGTGCCTCTGGCATACTAAAAAAGCATTAGCATCTTGTTTAACTGCTGCACCATTTCAGTTATCCAAGGCCTTTCTCATTAGTAACGAAGCTCATATTCAGAGAAAGCAGTAAAAAGAAAATGCTTTCTTACCAGCTCCCAAAGTACTCTGGTTGCACAACACACATTTATTTGAAGCACTGAATGCTAGACATTTTCATCTCTGGCTCTTAAGACTCTGAAGTTCAGGAACTGCTCCCATTGCAAAATTATACTCTTACACTTGGCTAGTCAGAATCCAGCCCTTAAGAGTTTATGCAAGTTCCCTCTGAAGTCACAAATATATGACACATACCCACAGGTTTAGCTACAGGTAGCATTCCCAGGTACTGGACGTGGAACTTCTGCACCAGCTCTGTCTTTGGTGTTGGGAAATCTACTGCATGGGAACAAATATAGATTTCTATTTATTGCTACTCACAGCTGGGAAAAAGACTTTCATTTCATCAATAACCTAAAACAGTTTATCAAGTAATTATACTCTGAAGGCATTGTACTAATTAAAACAAATCTCTACTCCCTCTGACAAGACTAATACCAAATAATTTTTAAGGGAATTAGAATGCTGCATCATTTAATTCTTCATCTACACTAAAAATAGGGTCACATTATGCCACTGGCATATTTTAAAAAAAAACAAAAACAAAAAATATAAATGAATGTGCCTTTGAGACATGCAGACCTATTTTTCACTGCATAACTATGTGAAATCTGGAACCTTTTTAATATCATCCATTTTAATATGTTCAACACAAGCTATGAGTAATCAATACTGCTGTCTAGCAGAAAATTACACAAGTTGATGTATGGATTAGGAGTAAGGTAATCAGGATGAACTGCTGCATCTGAAAGCATCTAGTTTCCAATAAAGCTAACACGTGGTACATTTGTTCTGGAGAATTTTCTAAACAGCAGCTAATAACTTTTGACTAATAAAGCATGCAAAGGCAACTTTCTTTTGCCATGCAGTAGTAGAGTGTGCAAAAGCCCCTCAAGGTAGATGACAACCCACTTGCATCTTTTGCCTTGGAAGCTGCCAAAACCGTGCTGAAACCTGGAAGGAGCACTTCTATGTGAATCCATGTGATTAACTGGAGCACATTCTGCTTTTAGGGCAGATTTGGCTGATATGTGCCATCTCAAGAAGTACTTTGATATGAACTGGACAATATATGCAAGTAGCCACAAGCATGACAAACTGTGTTTGCAAAAGCTGTATTTTAAAATAAAAGACAGTGTGCAAACTGACATAACTTACCAGGACTGTGTTACTGTGAACAGGATCAATACATTAAAATGTTTAATACAATACCACCTTAGAGTCAGATACAGTGGTTAAAAGACTCTCCAACCAACAGGCACCGTTTTGGTCAGAAACAGCATCAGAAATAAAACATATCTGAAATAGCCCCATCCCATGGACATGAGCAGTAATGTATGGTACCTTGCAGAGGAACATCAAGGGTGACGTTTGTCCTCTCCTGCATTGAACTGCAAGCCATAGCTTTAGCATTCTTCCGTTCAGCCATAATCTGAATAAGATAGTGATAATGCAGCATTTTTTGAAAGATGTTGTAAAATAGTAACTCCAAGTACCAGTCTCCTGATATACTCCTATTAGAACTCTAATTTCCCAAATTAGCCAGAAACTATGTGACTAAACAAGTTATTCTTCATAAATTACTTCAGCTTGCCCATGGCTTATTCACCATTCCTTATCTACATACTGAACTTATAAGCTGTTCAAGACTAGATGAAAGAAGAATGGAAGAGTTAAAAAACTAGCCATTTTTGTCAACAGAAAAATTGTGAGGAGTAATATTGCAAGAAACAAATATTTAACACACAGAGAAGTATGTTCATTATTCATGTACCTCTCTGATCTATCCTCTGCTGCATGTCATTTTTTCTTCCATTTTTATGTTTCATCTGACATTAAAAATTCCATGCAAAATGCAACACGCTCCTCTCCCACAATACTAACAAAAAGGAAAACACTTCCAAACAATCACTTCGGATGATCATTCTCTACAAATACACATCTGAGGAGGGTCCCAGGGAAGTTAAGGGAGGTTTTCCAAAATATGAAATTGCGATCTGCTTCTTTAACTCTGATGACTGTTGATAGTAATTAAGCTGTAGAGATGACTAGAGTTCCAGTGAACGACACTTGGTCTGAAGATACTTCTGGCTATTTTATCTTTTCATTTATCTTTGCTTTCTTCCCTTTTATTTATTTATTTATTTATTGCTAGGTTTCATATTTTGGAAGTATTATCTTTTATGGGGACACATGGCAGTATTCCCACTTGAGGATGAAAATTGATACTTGCTAGCTTAGGGAGAAGCCCTGGCTCAGCAAAGAGGTCAAGTGTGTCAGATAGCAGATGCTAGGTGCTTTGCTGAATCAGGATTTCATCTACTGCTGAATTATGAAGGAACAACTCTGCTCAACAGCACCATTCTCTTTTACTCTCTATTACTATTAGCTGTAAATGTTCAGTCACTCTGTGATCCAATATTGCCAGGAATTTCATGCCACAATTACATGACAGCTTTCCTGCCTTTCTGACAGCACAAGTCAGATACCCCCTGCATTTACTTGATATTGTGCTTACTGGACTAAAGAAACTTTTGTAGAAATTGTTTTTCCCTGCTAGACTTGCTAGAAAAATCTGTGAGAGCTGAGTCGGAGGAGAAAGATGAGAGACAGCAAGTCCAGGCATCTCCAGTGAACCACTGCTGCAGTGATGCTGTGCAGCGTCACCCAGAATGGCCCCTGCCACTCCCAGCCCCACCACCAGTTGGGGCAGCTCGTCAGCATATTCTTAAAAAGGTGAATGCAGCCTCAAATCCATAGCTCAATAAAAGAAATAAAAACAGTTTCAAGCACTCTGGCTTAAGTATCTCCCTATAAAGCCTTTTAAACATTTTTTCCAGCTGTCAAGGATGTGCTGTCACAGCACTACAAGACATTGCTGCACTGAGGACACTCATGAACTGATCACGCAAGAAAATCAAAATTAATAACTAGGGAATGTTGGCAGATTAATGTAAAATGACTGAAGAGAACAGTTGTCTACAGTATTACAGACAGTGCTGCTACGGGAACAAAGATCCTTCTACTGTTAGTCAGCTTAGCTCTCCCCCTTCTCCCTGATTTCTTTTAATTGGGCAGCATAACACTGGCAACTATTTTCATGCCTGTCCTGCTTGAAGCATACCATTCAAACAAGGTCTAATTTATTTACAAAGTTACACACCACCACTGATCATTAATTAAAAGAATGTGTTCTTTTTCCCTTTTCAACACACAACTTCTTTATTACACAAGACGACTCTCTGTATATATGCTTATCAATTAAATACAAGTATCACCATCCTCAAATCTAAATGCACATCCTCCCACTATTCCCATTCCTTTGTATCCTTTACAAACTCCCTGTCTCATTTCTGGTTGCCAGAGATACAAAGCTAACAGTGTGAGGTGGCTGACTGTATATTATGCTCTGAGGCTCTCAGCAGGCTTGTGTGGATGACTTTACATCCACTTACCTTTGAGCAGATCTCGTGTAAACTTGTGGCGATGGCTTTTGCTGGCGTGTCACATCGAAACACATGACATTTCAGAATTCTGGTGTCTTTGTCTCTTGCCACATATGCAAAGTCTCTGCACAAACAAAATGAATTGACACATTAGAAGCAGTAATACCTGCAGTGATCTGTCCTTTACCATGTGTGTTTCAGCTATTAGAGAATAAAACACATCTTAGACAATGCAGATCTTCAAATTTAATACATTGCACACCTATGAAAAACTACATAAGCGTTGATGAGTTATCTATATAATTAAACAGCTTATTACAATTTCATAACAATTTATTGAACATAACACCCATAACTCCAAAAGCAATTGTAAATACATAGAAAAATATATACTTACTAAAGGCAAAGGAGAAAGAATTAGAAGATAAGACTAAAAACACATGCAGCTTTTAAATGCTAAAAAAAAATGAAAAATGGCAAATGGTGGTCTAGGTAGAAAAAGAATGCATTTAGAAGGACTGTATAAAAGTGTTTAAAACATGCAGATAGTAATTAGAGATCTGGTTGCATAAGGGAGATGTGAACCTGCTGAGTTTTGCTCAAAGTAATTGGCCTAAATATCTGACCTTATTTTTTCAAAAGTTAAATAAGGATTCCCTATGAAAGAGATTTTCTACACTGTTCCAACTAGTCGCCTCAACAGAGTACAGTCTTCTAAAGTCAGTATGGTGCTTCCTCGTTCTCAGGCTGTTTAAGTGCTGATGTGCTTCTGAAGAAGCCAAAGCATGAGCACGGTGTAAAGAAAGCAACAGGGTTGACATGTTCCATTTAGATACTGAATTCAGGGCTGCCTCTGCTCCAAGAGCTCATCACTCTCCCTGTAGTGCTAATTTGCTTCATGACGCTCCTGGGATGGAGGCTAATTCACTCTTTCACAGAGGAGGAACCCGAAGCTGGTTCTACAGCACAGGAAAGCACGCCAGGATGCTGATGGCTGATGGAGAGCTGGACTTCCAGCCCCACACTGGAAGCAGGAGCACTACCCTGAAGTTCAGTACATTTCCTGTATTTAGTGTGGCAGCACTACGTTTTGTCCGTGATGAATCCTCACAACAAAGAAATGGCTGCCCCTCGCCTGGGTGCTTACAGACAGGTTGGAGCTCTTCCTCTGCTTTGGTGTGCCTGTATGTGTGACACAGGCACCTACAAAGGGACAGTGCTGGAGTAACAACATAGGCATGTCTTAATCCAATGACTCATGACTTGTGGCAAACCCCACAGCAATAATCCCAGAAGAGGTTGTCTGTTAAGATGCCTGGATGTCTTGCAGCTCCAGCCCCACTCCCAATACTTCAGCCACAATCTACAAGAGCCTTTCAGCACTTTCTTCCCTTTTGCTGCACTGCAAGTTCACCGAGACACTGAGCATCCTGGGAATAACTGAAGCATTTTTTCTACACAAGCAAAGCCTTGCTTTAGAAGGGCTCCTTCCTTCCTGAACACTTTGAAAATAAAATAGAGATTTCCATCTGGAATTGCATGCAAAACAAACATGCTGGCTGTGATCGTAAGCACAGGCTAGCGAAGATGCACAAGCAAGCAACCTGCTGCATATACCTCATTGCTGGATCAAGGCCTGTTCTTTTGGAGTGACAATAGCTATTTATCACTATTTGGAAGCATTAACCTCAAATCGATAAAAGCCCTTCAAGGATGTGTAAATGAATGATTTACGGGTTCCTTTACAAGAAGAGTAGTTGTATACCCTGCATTGTTTTGCTGAATTGCTTGTGCTGTGCAGATCCCCATTCAAATAAATAGAAACCTGGAGCCCAAGGAACACTGTGAAGCATCAGGATGAGATCGGGCCATCACATGTGAGGGGCTGCACAGACAGAGCATAACTTGCACCTCCTGGTAGCTTAAAAGCTATTAGCTAGAAACTTGTCATTAATAAAAATAAGATGGTACAAAGCAAGTATTGGAGGTTTGGATGACATATTACATTGCCAGCCAAATCCAAGTTCAAGCAGCCTATGAATGGCTGGTCTGACTTTTGCCTAGCAGTGAAATGACAGAGCCGGTAGGCAAAGTCTTCACACACGTCAGGAAGCACTCTGCACCACAGATGTCTTCATGCTCCTACTGCTTGCTCTGGCATTTGCCCAGGGATACCAGGAAATGCCTTCTTCACCCTGTGAAATCCTACTCAGGCACCATCAGCCTGAAGGAGCAGGAAAAGCAGCCCTTCGCTGAGATGCTGTGTACCATGCAGCCAGGAGGCCTCAGCCTCAGACAGTGGTGTCTGTTCCTGCTGCTACAGTAAATATTCCTGAATTAACAGGACACGTGTATAAGCCAGGTTGTGTAAAATTACAGTGCAATTACAGCAGCAAATGAGACACCAGCTAGCACATCAATCTTGACTGCTGAGAGCTAATAAAGCCCGTGCAGTGGTGGTTGAGACACACGCACCAGTGCCTTACTTTAAATACCTGAACAGCTTGAACAAAGTAAATCAGCTAATTACATATGGAAATTGTGAACATGCATAAACCTTTAGATGATCATCTGTAAGCCTGCTGAGGCAGAGAAGGAAATCCAAGCTCCTCAAAACCAATGGCAGTGTATCACACACAACCCTGCCAGCACCAGCTGTTTCCAAGTCATCAATCAAAATTAGCAAGCACATCATCCACTTCTGTTTTGACAGAGCACAAACAATACCACCGATTCCCTTAATTCCTGAAGTCACCTACCTGCCACGCTCTGAGAAGCACCTCAGGAGACAGGCTGGCAGCAGGGACCTGGTGCAGCCTGGTGCTGTGAAGCACAGGGAGAGCAGAGCTCTCTGGGATGAAGGGCATGGCTTTGATCACTCTGTAGTAGCTGCTCCCAAAACCATGGCTAACAGAATAAAACTCTGGAGCAACATTTCCCTTCACAGGACCAGAAGGCAACAATTTATCTGTCCAAAGCCTTGAATACCAAGTAAGCCCCAAGACTGCTCTCTGATGCTTCTTCTACTTCAGATCCCTTCTGGGTCACTTACTCTGTAAACCTCCATTCCACAGCAGCTCACTTGAAGCTGATTAACATTTAAGTGAGATTTATGGGCAACCAGTTCCTTCAATAATGAAGAAGTGCTGAGTAACGTGCTTGCAATAGAAATTTATGGAAAAGGGCAAATACCTCCTCACACCGTTCCCTTGCCTTTACTTCTTGCTAGGAAAACAAGAGAAAGAATAAACTGAGAAGCCTTTAAGAAATCCAGGGAAGGATACAAAGTTGCACAGAATGAACAGATCCCCATCTCATCCAGATGGAGTCTTCCCATTCTCCGTGGGATGTGGGCACACGTGAAATTAGCAGGATTTAAACCACAGCTCCCAGTACAATTCCCTTCATGTCAGTGGGGAGAGCAGCATGACGTTTAGTGGAAGAACAGTGTATTGCATCTCTATATTCCCTCAAGTTCACAGCACAAGCAGATCGTTTCTGTTGGTATGGCATTACAGAGAAGGGCCAGGATTTGTTTTTTAACCATTTGCACATATAGTACCTTATCCACTAGTACATTTCAGGACACAGGAACTTGCTGTAAATTAGTAGCCTGGAAAAAGCCAGAAAACAGATAGAAAGTGCATTTTGTTGCACAAGCAGGTAAGACTGGCTCTGCTGAATAGTTTAAAATACAACTGTGAGACATTTTAAAAAGCAATTAGAGAACTGCAAAGATAATGTAAGGTGCTAAGTGGAATGGAATTTCATTTTTATTTGCTCCTTTACCCCCCTTAATTGGCAAATGTCTACAGTAATTGACTAGAACTTAGATAGCCATACCTATTTAACACCTGGCTAGGCATCACTTAGCTGCTCAACCCTGGATGAATATAATCACACTAAATGTGATTTATGCTAATGCTGTTCTGTTTGAATAGCAGTCATGGCCATTTGCCACTATTAGGCTACAGTCCTAGGAGACATCCCAATTAAGTATGGCCTGAAAAAACATCACATTCTCCACTGCCTTTTCTTACTTTTCCAAAGGACTGTAGAATTGTATTAACCCTTATTTAAAAAAAAAAAAAAAAAAGCCAAGCCTTGAATCTGGAAATAAGAAAATTTCTACTTTTACCAATGATAATTGCAGGTATTTAGAACAACTGTATTAAAATAATACATATGCAGGAAAATGTAAATTGCTTTGCAGATTTATGTACCACAAATTTTAACAAGAATCCTTGAAGAAGAAAATGATATCCTCTAGGCTCAGCTTAAAATTGATTCAAATTCACCTAAAAGTGCCTCCAGAAAATGACTATTTCTATGTAACAGTGTGCACTTGCTCCTGTGGGATCAAAGAGCACACCCTGCTGGGCTGCAGTGAAACAGGCTCCTGAGCTCATAATCTTCAGATTTTGCTTTGCTTTACTGCAAACAGATGCCCAGAGATTTGTGGAAAATAAAGGAGAAAGGGGAGAGGGGAGGGTTGTGGAAAAAAAAGAGAAAGAAGAAAAAAGGGGGAGAGCAGCCGCCACAATGGCAGAGTGGGGTCAGGAGCCGTCTGGCAGGAGGCTGCCATTCACACACAGTGGATAGACAACACAGTGTCCATGAGAGCAGAATAAATGAGCAGACAAGGACAAAAGCAAGGAAAGTGAGAGAGGTCATACGGGAAGAAAAGGGGATAAATTTTAACACCAACAAGCTCATTCTTTCAAGAGGCTTTTTCCAAGTATTCTAATGTCACAAATGGCAAGTAAGGTTAGGTGCAGGAAACCATGCAGCAAAGATACATTACAAAAATTTAAAGATCTTCTGGTAATTCTAAAAATGTACAAAAGCTTTGCAATTCTTTACTCCAACAGCTCCAGCTTGCAGAGCTCTTGCTGCCCAATTCCAACCCAGTATAGCAGGCAGGTCCACTAATACACATCCTGGTCATGAGTTTCTGGCCTAGGTAGTTAAGATCCTCTCTGAAGCAGACAGAGACTTCTAGGAGTCTTTTCTTATTTCAGTCCTCACAGAACTTTAAAAAAAAAAAAAAAAAGCATACCCTTGAAGCAATAAATCAGTTCTGCATTTATTAAATTCTCCTGAAAGGGCACTGGAACAATGTAG